GAGAGAGAGAGAGAGAGAGAGAGAGAGAGAGAGAGAGGCAAAATAGAAAGAGAGAGAGATCTTAGAATTGCTTTGAACATTTAGCCCACATGAAGTAAACTAAAAGCTTCTAGCAAGTAAAGTAACTAAAGCTTCTATTATTATTATTATTATTATTATTATCAATATTCACAAAGAGTATATTAGGAAATTAACGATCTACTTCATCAAACATTTAACTGAACATTAACGAAGTCTATATATATATATATGTTTAATTATTCCATTTTATAACAAAATAAAAATATACAAATGCGTTCTATATCATAAATTTCATATATCAATCGAATTTAATTGACTAATTTATCTGAAAAAGTAATTCTAAGTGCGATTCACGTACTCGCATATTCTATGTTTCTAAGCCTAATAATCTAAATAAAATTTATTTTGCGAGAAAGAAAGTATCTAATGATAATATAAAAAAGAAAAGAAAAGAGAAAAAAGAAACCTGTCCAAGTTTTATTATCTGATCATTTATTTCACGGTGAAATATTAAAATGTACTTCTAACATAGTTTAAAAAAATTTTATATATATATATATATATATATATAAATATACACATATATTTGATGTACATAGATATATGTTTAATAGAGTAATAAATCTATCTACGTATATTTTAAAAGTACTTTTGCTTATAACCATTTTATTTTCATTTCCATTATTCGTTCGAGTTAAAATTTTATAAACGAGTAATTTTACGAATCCAATCTCGAAGGGAATTGTCGGTATTGGATCAGTGACTATCAAAAAAAAATTTTTCTGAAATGTAATTCTTCGATGGATATGCATTTCATATATATATATATATGTATATATATATATATACAACTAGCAGCTCGAAAACTTTCTCAAGATCCCAGTGAAAATTCAAAGACTAGTACATGCCAGATTGAGGATAACGAAATATTTTCAACTCGTCGATCCGGGAACATTCGAATATTTATAAATGTCACGAGCGAGACGGACACGAAGATCTATTTATCTCTCATGACATTTAAACGGAATCATCTTAAATATTCGAATGTAAAATTATTATTCAAACAAATTTATATTGTTTATATTATTTATTTTATGACTGATTTAAAAACAAAAAAATAAAAAAAAAAAATAAAAAAAAAAAAATAAAAAAAAAATAAAGAAAAAAATAAAGAAAAAATCTACCTATAAACTATAACTATTTACTATATCATACTTAACCGTTTACAATGATCATAATTACGATCAAACATTATTCTCATATCACATATTTTAAAACTTCTTATCTTCATTGATTTAATACGAATTTAATGCGAAACTGATAAGCGCATAATCAGATAGATATAATTTTCAATTCTAAATAATTTTAACGAGAAAAAAAAAAAAAAAAAAAAAAAAAAAAAAAGAACGAATAACGCGTGCATTCATGCCAAGTTGAAATTCAAAACGATCGTTAAATTTAATTAACGATTGAAATATGACAAATGTCGATACGTTGTTGTATAGATAGCCATATATAGACTGATGATTTTTATCGTATCACATTTTATTGAAATTACATGTGTACGATTATACCGAACAAGATGGTCATGAGGTGTTGTCCCAAAATTTTTAACTTTTATATTTGATATGTTCCAGTTACTTAGAAAATGAATTGCGTGCGACGAACCATGTTAACATCGTTCAACAATGATTCACGAATTCGATAATGTCACGAGCTTTCGCAGGTCAATAATCTTGTTATATTCATTAAATACACACACACACACACGTACGCACGCACACACGCGCATACAGTTTCATATTACGTTTCCACATAATCTCAAAATTTGAACGTGATTTCCGACACTATTCTATTAAATATATATATATATATATATATATATATATATATATATATATATATATATGCATTATTTAATTATCTGGAAAAACGACAACGATAAGGTTTAATGAACTTTGATGAAAACGACGATATTTTTTTTTTTTTTTCTTATTCATCTATTTTTATTTCCTCAATAAACGAACTTTGCGTCCCTTTTCGTACGAGGTCATCATTGAAACGTCGTCTGTCATCTCTAGGCTATCGTAATTATTAGTCTCTATGGGAATTACTAGTGAAGCGTAATGAGAATATAATCCAATAAAAAACGGACACCTATGAAATATCTCGTAAATGTGTGTTGCTTTTATGTCGTTCATGGAAAATAAATGAAAAATATTTTCTTTTTCTCTCTCTCTCTCTCTCTCTCTCTCTCTCTCTATCTCTCTCTTACGCACATACACAATCTATCTATTTATTCGACGTATCGTTAACAATATTATAAATTGAATGGATATCTATTTAATATTCGTATTTGAGTTATTATACCAATATTATTAAATTTATCGTCATTGTTCGAAATTACGACAATATGGACATATTTCCATTCATTCTGAAGTACTGATAAACGGATTATATGACGAGTATTATTACCTTAGATAACAGGAATATACAATGTTACTTCCTTTATGAACACGAAATCCATTAGGATTTCCGTATAATTATCATTATAAACTACTTCTCAACTTTTCAATTAATTTAACCAGACTTCGAAAAATCGAACATAAGTAGAAACGTAGCGACTTCATCAGGAGGAAAAAAAAGAAAGAAAGAAAGAAAGAAAGAAAGAAAGAAAGAACTGTTTTAATTTCGAATAGACATTAGAAGCCCTTATTTCTTTTCCTATTTTTTGTTTTCTTTATCGCATGTACAGAGTAGAACAAAAGTTTTTGGGTGATCTCTTTTAAAAATAAATCCACGCTTTTCCGGAAAGTTTTAGATTAATTTTCTGTTTATCTTTCTTTCCAAATCATAAAAAAGAAGAAAAAAAATGTTCTCGGTCTTGTAAATTTCACGATACGATAAAAAGAAAAAAAGAGAAGAAAAGTAAAAAAGAAAAATTAGCTGAGAAAATCTCGAAGAAGACTAATTCGTTTTACAAATTATTTAGGAACTTTTTCATTCAACTTGTATTTGAAATAACAATTACTACGTCTAAAAAATAATGATATGAAATTCAAAATAATGACATAAAATGTATATATATATATAATATAAATAATAGCGGATATACATATATATATATATTTAATATAAATAATGATGGACATATATATATATATATATATATATATATATATATATATATATATATGCATATATGCATATATGCATACACATATATGCATAATGATATTATTTCTTGATGGATATTTATCATCATGATAAATCGTCTCTATTCTCTTTAGGATGTTATGACAACGAATATATTTTTATCGATAAATACGACGAAAGAGACAAACAGATAGACAGAAAGAGAGAGAGAGAGAGAGAGAGAGAGAGAAAGAAAAATAGAGAAAACGATCTGTAAATCTTATCAATTTATCATTTAGCACGATATCATAGTTACATGACACTAGTATAACTTCTTCGCTTTTTCTTTTATGCCGTAACAAGGAGAAAAAAGAAAAACAAAAAGAAAAACAAAAAGAAAAAAAAAAAGAAAGAAAAAGAAAACAAAAGAAAATGAAACAAAGAATATTAAAAAATCTGAAGACAGACTTTCAATTAAAATTTATCCGTAACGTAATAATAAATATATTTACATAAAATACTCCATTTTATTACTCCCTTGAGATATCATTAATTAAACGACTTCTTTCTTCTTTTTTTTTATCGTTTAGTTTTCCTTTTTACGTAAAAGAAAATATCTCTTCTATCTAATATACTCCTCGTGTTCGAAATGACTTTATATGCTTTATGAGCTTGGAATTTCAAGAGAGAAAGACATAAGAAACGGGGGAGAGAAAGAGAGAGAGAGAGAGGAGAAAAAAAGAAAAGAAACGAACTAACGGGAAAAGAAACGGAAAGAATAGAAAAAGAGATCAAACGACGATACTTCGAGCATATTAATAGTTTTCCGACTCGTCGATACGTTAAAATTAACAAAACCATCATGATTCTATTAATAGTAAGAATAATATATATATATATATATACGGTTAATTTAAATGCCACATAATAATAATTTTCAAAAATCGTAATTCCTTAAAATTATTTTTATTCGTTGTTTATACGAGAACGTATGATGGATGAATGTGCACGCGCACGCGCATTTCTTTATCGAGAAAACAACTATGTAAATAAATAATACTCGATATATACATGGAAGATCCATTTGTTTACAATACCGAATATCAACAAAAACATTTGAACGAACCAAAATCAATTGGAAATAAAATATAGTAGATATTATCATTTCTGATCTATATTAATTGTTCCTTACATTTCAATCTATCCGTGTATTTATTTTCTTTATTCGAATGATCTTGAATTAAATAAAATAAAAATTTCATACGACTAAATAAATGCGTACATCAAAGTACATACGTATAAGGTTATGTTCGGTTTTAAATGGTCGAGGAGTAAGCGGCAACATTGTCGTAAAGACGAAAGAAATAGAAAGAGAGAGAGAGATACAAAGAGAGAGAAGAGGGAGAGAGAGAGAGAGAGACAGAGAGAGAGAGAGAGAGAGAAAGAAAGGGAGTAGAGAAAGAAATAGAAAAAGAGAGACAGAGAGAGAGGAAGAAATAGAAAGAGAGGGAGTAGTAATATAGTCGTTGCTGCATCGACTATCACCGCTTTGTTAGATCTACACTATCTTGCATCTTTTCTCTCCCTCTCCCACTCTTTCTATATATATATATATATATGTGTGTGTGTGTGTATGTGTGTGCATATGTGATTGCACGGCGAACCTTTCGAGTCGTGTACGTTCGTGGGAGATCGGTTTTCGGTTCATATCAAACCGGCTTCCTTCGAACGAGTTAGAACGTTTCTCTTCCTCTTTTTTATTTTCTCCTTTCTTCTTTTTCTTTTTTTTTTTTTGTTTTTTTGGAAAAATACGACGGTCAATAAAGAAGTGGTTTTGTACTTACGTTACGAAAATTACGTGATGTAATTAATGCCGACGATGAGACAGTGAATACGCGTGTCGAAACGTCGCACCATCTCGCTAGGAACATTACGCGACAGGAGACCGCTGATGCCATTTCCAATTTCTCTTAAACGATGACCTTTTTATTTCTTCTTAATTTTCTTTCTTTTCCTCTTATTTCTTCCTCTTTTCCTTTGATCTTCTTTCCGATAATAAAATAGAAAATGATAGATGATCAAGATAGAAAAAGACTTGTAGGAAAAAGGACTACTAATGTTAGTAAGTAGTACCTTTCCTTTATGTTGGCGGGCGAGCACTATTTCTCTCTTTCTCTCTCTCTCTCTCTCTCTTTCTTTCTTCCTTTCTTTCGTTCTTTCTCTCTCGTTTCTCTCACAACACACGAATAACGCGCGACCAAATACAAACGACCAACAACGCACGACGACGAAGAACAGACTAATCGTCATCGGTCACGGCCGGCATCCTTCGTGCCCTTCCGCGCCGGCTCGCCCGGTGTGTCACCACTGTACTATTATTCGACCAATCACGTCGCATCGTTTACCGAACATACACGAATCGGTCGCGCGCTTCCGTACTTTGAACAGATATTATTAAATACATACAAACCGCGGGTCTATAAATTGCCTAAATGAATTTGCGCGAAAATTTGAATGTTGAATATATATATATATAAAGTTGTATTTATTGAAGTATTATCGTAAATCGATATATTCGATCGTAAATTTCTTTTTTACGGCCATTAGCTCTCACGGCAATACGATTTAATTTCTATCGCTTGAAAAATGAATGCAATACTTGGATATTTATATATACGTATATATATATATATTTTTTTTTTTAACTTTTAATTGTACAATGAAAATATATTCAGAAATTTTATGGGATAATATTTTTTTTTTTTTTTTTAGTAATAAAATATCGAGACAAATGTGTTAATTGTTATCACAAGTTAATATTACAGATAATTGTCTGTCATACTTTATCGAATGACGCTCGTAATATCTGTCAATATGTGCATACACTTTTTTTTTTCTCTTATCATTTTAAACGATCCTACATCGCTTTTGTTTTTTCTTTTTCTTTTTTATCTTTCGTTCTCTTTTGTTTCGTTTTTCTTTTCTTTTACATTAAAATTTAAAATAGCGCAGTATCGATAATACCAACGATCGAGTTAATGAAAAAGCAAGATTACGTCATGTATCCAAATGATCTTAACCTTTTCAACGAATCCTTTATCGATCCTTTATTATCAAAAATCAATGGATTTTATTCTTATGTATGTTTATCGAACTATGCGAATCGAATACTATTGACGATCCTAATGCGAATTGGTTTTGTTCTATTGCAAATTGGTATTGTGAAAAAGGACAATCTGAATTTTATCCTTTTTAAAAATATCCTAGATATCTGTTCTACCACGGTAGCTTATTTTACGATCGGTTTTCTTTTGATCTTCGATGGTGACGCGTACGGCTTTATCTACGGCGATTATTATCCTTACGAGGATTTTACGATAAAGAAGGAAGGATTCTTGATCGGTTGGCAAGTCGTAATGATTGCCTCGGCTATTTGTACAACTAGCATGATAGAAAATAGTCACCTTATGTCACATTTTCTGGTAAATGTACTTTTGGCTGGCATAGTTCAACCACTTTTAATTCGTTGGACCTGGATGCCAGAAGGGTGGATAGCAAAAGGTAGATTGAATGACGTCAATGTCATTTATCGCGATCACGCTGGATCAGGAATCATGCACGTTGTCGGTGGACTATCCGGTTTAATAGCTCATTTGATATTATCGAAAAAGAGGAAAAACTTAAAAACAAATAATATCGATCGAATAAATTATTTTAGTTTATTCCCTTCGATTATCAATTATTTGGGATTATTCTTGATCTTCGTTGGCCTATCGGTAAAATATAATTTTATTTATGTATATATATTTGTTTTGCTTTATCTATTCATTTTCATAATAATATTTATAAATTTTTAAATTTCAGAGTTTTTCTTCGTCACCGAGGGAAGATGATATATCAAAAGCGATAAACATTATTAATAATAATTTATTGGCAGCCTGTTCTTGTTCATTTTTTGTCATAATCATACATTTCACATTTCAACGAGCTATCGATCATTTGACGACGATAAGATGTGTCCAAGGTTTAGTTGCCGGACCAATTATGATCTCGGCTGCCTCAAACGAATATTCTTCATTGATGTCAATTGGATTAGGTTGTTTAGGAGGAACTATTATTTACCTAACATCTAGATTTATCTTTCATAAAGATTTGGAAGATCATTGCAATGTCATAGCAACTCATTTGGTTTGTGGATTATTGGCAACCGTCTTGGCACCAGTCTGTACATTAGATAAAGATTCAAATACACAGACTATTTTATTAAATCTTTCCTGGCAATTAATTTCTTTAATTGCTTTGTTGGTATTAGTAACCGTCGCACTGACACCATTATTTCTAATTTTAAATGCTTGCGGTCTTGCCAGACATAGTTCGAAAATTTTCAAAATAAATGAGTTCGCTGCTACTACGATTACTCTTGAAATGAAAAAAGATTTGTCCGATAAAAATATCGAACATAATAGAAACGAAGAATCGATAATGAATAATGAAAATGTATTTTCCTTGGAATTTTCCGATGAAAATAAACGGCCAAGAAAAGAATTATTGCAATTGGAGGAGGGTCAATTTATCAAAGAAAATTATTTGAACGGCAAGGCGTACGCTGTGAAAAATGAAAATCTTTCTGAATGTTTGCAATCATCAGGTCTGCATCGTCGAGTAAGTAATTAACGAATGGAACATTTAATTTATTTAGATTAAAATTATTCATCGCGATTATCACAGGAAGAAGAGTGCACAAATTAAAACATATATATACACTTCCGGGATGCGTTTTAACGTTCTCACAAAATCAATTCGATGTTGGTGACATGATCGACGTTGATCATTTGAATAATAGGAAATATTTTTCTGAGATGAATTTACAAAATACTAAAAATAATTTTTACATGTATGAAGGAATACAACGGGAACGATATTTAAATTGTCAATTTGACGTTAAGAAGAACAATGGTAATGATAATGATAATGAGATTAATATGAATGATAATTATCAATTACGGAGAACACAAAAATTCATGAACCTGCGTGAAGAATTGGATAAACAGATGAAATCCAACGTGGAGGCCGTACGTAAAAAAGAATTTAATACGGGCCTGTTCGTATAATATGTAATTTATAAAACATAAAAGAAAATAAAGGAGTACGTTCTTCCGACATTTTATGGTATATTGTCAAATTAAAACGAAGCAAAAGAAAAAGTATAGTTATCTCAATTGTTTTATATTCTTCAATCGATGTTCTCTCTTTTTTTTCTTTCTCTCTCTCTCTCTCTCTCTCTCTCTCTCTCTCTCTCTCTCTCTCTCTCTCTCTCTCTCTCTCTCTCTCTCTCTCTCTCTCTCTCTCTCTCTCTTTCTCTCTCTCTCTCTCTCTCTCTCTTTCTTACCACCATTTTAAATAATTATTTTATTAGAACTTATTGCCTATACCGTACAGTTATTACAATATTTTACAATAGATTAATCATAAGTTAAATAATTCAAGGTCTTATTAACGTGTCGTACACACATTCTAAACGCATTTCTTTTTTTTTTTCCTTTTTTTTCTTTTTTTTTTTTTTTTTTTTGTAAATCTATGACAACGGCGATTCTTCACATTCGTAACAGTCTATCAAAGCGAAACGTTTCGAAAGTGCTTTCTTATTTTTCATTATGTCTTTCTCCTTTTGATAAACAATTTAAAATTGAAAATAATTAAGAAATCAAAATAATTGGTAATATTTTATTACTATATTGATCAACATTTAAACAACAACAAAAATTCACGTATGTATATATGTATATAAATATATATATATATATATACACACATATATTATCTTGATTTATACGATACATGGAAATCGTAAGTCATGAATTATAAAAATTAATTATTATTATTATTCGTCAAAAGAAAGAAAAAAAGAAAAGAAGACAAAAAAAAAGGAATATAATATATCATTTTGAATAATAAATTCACTGAAATTCATTGAATACAAATAAATAATAGAATTGAAACAATGGTACTAAACTATTAATCTCATTTGTACAATTCGCAATATGGATATCGTTATTTCCATGGGGTTTATGTTTCCGTTTTGGTTTTGTCACATATTATTGTCAGGCGGCGATAAATCATAAAACTGTTACGGCCGCCGTGCCGAATGAAATTTGAATAACATTAACTACAAAATCCAACGTGTGTGTGTATGTATGTGTGTGTGTGTGTGTATGAGTGTGGACTTGCGTGTATGTGTATGTGTATGTATGTTATCATCTCAATATGATAATACAATTATTATATACAACACGATAAAATGGCACGATTCGACAAAACATATCGATCAGTTGTATAATAATAATCCATCGCTGTTACTAATAATTATTATATCATTATAATTATAATTATTATTATTATTATTATTTTTATTATTAATATTATTATTATTATTATTATTATTATTATTATTATTATTATTATTAGTAGTAGTAGTAGTAGTAGTATCATTATTATTATTATCATATTAACAAGAAACTTTGTACAAGGTTTTCGTTAAAACGCCGAATGGCACAATTTAACGGCAGTATAAAAATGGAAACAAACTATACAAACGTAACAAGATCGTAATCAGATAAAAATATCTAAAGATAAATATGGCCAAATGAATTGCCGTATTAGAAGAAGTAAATTACTTGTTTGACGACGACATCATTGTAGTAAAAGATTGCGAGTACCGAATTTTTGTCCATTTTTTGTTTTTTTTTTTTTCTTTCTTTTTTCTTTCTTTCTTTTTTTTTCTCTTTTGATGCTCCATTGCTCGTTTTGGACGGGAGCCTCTATTCGCTTCAGGCTCGTGACTCTCAGTAATATTTCTTTCTATCAAATTTCTCTCTCTCTCTCTCTCTCTCTCTCTCTCTCTCTCTCTCTCTCTCTCTCTCTCTCTCTGTGTGTGTGTGTGTGTGTGAGTGTGTTTTGTTATTGATATTTTTTTAATATCATTACACTGATTTCTCTTTTTCCTTTTCTTTTTTTTTTTTTTTTCAACAAAATGTTAAAATAAAAAACAATGACGTGATACAAAGATTTCGGTAAACATAAACAATGTAAATTCCTTCATCGTCAAATTGCATTAAAATTGAAATGTTCGTGATTACAAAGTGAGTGGGTGGATGGGTGGTTTGTTTTGTTGGTAGGTTGATTAATGGGGGGAGGTGGGGAGTCGAAGGGAAGGGGAGGGAAGGGAGGACAACGAATAAATTAAAGAAACATTTATATACAATGTACAATCGTGTATATAATAGAACTATTCTCGATTGTAAAAGAAAGAAAAACGTCGTATAAGTAATGTAGCCTTCTTGTTCACGAATTTTTTTTTTCTTTTTTCTTTGGAGAAAGTACAACGTAGTAGGTGTTTGATCGTATATACATTCCCAAAACGAGCAAATAATTCGCCAATATTATTGACTAATTGCTGTCGTTAAAAAGGAGAGAGAGAAAAAAAAAAGAAAAAAAAAAAAAGAAGAAAACAAAAAATTCAGATCCAAAGAAACGACACAAGAATAGATTGGACATATATTGCTATATGGGATGATAGAGCAATTCTTTCGAATATAGTTTTTCTTTTTTGTTGCTTTTTTTCTTTTTTTTTTTTTTCACATCCGTTACATTTTGATTGTTAAATATTATTCAAAAACGATCGAATGTCCAAACCTCGAACACGTATTTGTTGAAAACTTATCAGAGTTTCTAAAGTGTTTCATAGATTATTGCAAGCGAATATTGATGGATCTTTCATTTTGCACAGACGACGACGTTACGTTATCGGAAGTTTCCAAGTTTCATCCCAAAAGCCTCTCTATAATTGATCTAATATATATATATATATATATATATATATATATATATTTTATTTTTTTTTTGTTAAATCTAATATGTTACATCTACGCGTTGACATCAAAATAGTGTATTACAATATTACATTAATGTACAAACGGACGCGATCATACACCACTTTTATTGACCTTTCCTCTTCGTCGGTACCAAGAATAGTATTGTCAAAATATACAAGAATCATGATCAATTTCAAATATCCTTATACAACGAGAATTAACATACACTGTGTCTCCGAAAGTAGATGGGCCAGAAAGGAAAAAATCTGACAGCCCAAAAGTATGCGTTATTCGCTTGGACGATCTTTTAAATGACATTAAGAACGATCGATCGTTTGATCCACAAACGATATTTTATATTTTGAGAAGTAGATAGGTTTTTTTATTTGTTCGTTTGTTTGTTTGATCGATCGATCGATCGATCGTTCGAACGAGGATAAATCTCTTTAAACACGTTAACAACGCGTTTTGGACAGATCATCATACCTCAATAGAATTAAGTTGACAAACTCTTCGAAAATACGAAGTTTGGTTCAGAAAGAATTTAATTTACTTCATTCCATTCAGATATTTCTTTTTCGTATATCATTCTCGATATTTTTATAATTCAATCATAATGCTTATTCGATTTTACAAAATAATTTGATTCGTTGTTTGACAACGATTCTTTTTATTTAATTAATTAATTAGTTCATTCATTCATTCATTCATTATTTAATTTTTAATTTTTTTTTTTTTTTTTTTTTTTTTTTTTTTTTTTTTTTTTTTTTTTTAATTTTATATCTTTTCCCCCTCTCGAAACATTTCATCGAAGTGCGAAGAGCGACGCTATCGCAAAATCTTACGCGAGAAATCATCAAGCGACGATAGAAAAATATACGGGGCCGGGGGGGA